GACGTTCAGTGCCGCCTTCCTGTGAGCCTAGAAGTTTGACAATGGCGTTTGGAACGTGCATGATTCCACTGATGTTCCAAATGCCATTGTCAAACTTCTAGGCTCACAGGAAGGCGGCACTGAATGTTTGACGTACACGTTTCTGTGTTGAAAACGTCGGCCGCAACCTCTCTATTAGATATGCTGAAAATCTTAACAGAAAATAAAGTAAGTTAGGTATTCATATATTTTTATTTTAAAAATTAGATGTTTTTATTATTAATAAAAAAAAGTATACGGTTAAGGCAAGCTGGATTTCTTAAATTTTGTTAATAAACATTACACACTGGATTATTTTAGATATAATTAAACTAAATTGAACAGAATAGTAAATCTCGGCACATTTTGATGCTGATTTCCTCACATCGCATCCGTGTCATTTCCGTAGCCGAAATCAAAACAGTCCAGAAACACATTAACAGAATCTGAAGCATTTTGGTTATACTATTTGAGCTGACATACATCTAATGACTAATTCAGTCTTGAATTTTCAATTTTCAATAAATTTCTTCATAAAGGTCATCTGTAATAAATAATTAAAATAATCATATTATTAAATTAAATTAATACTTACTATTAATATTAATATACTAAAAATACTTACTACTTAAATACTTACTACTCAATCGTTGCTCAATCAGTGCCATATTGATTAAATTAAATTAATACTTACTATTAATATTAATATACTAAAAATACTTACTACTTAAATACTTACTACTCAATCGTTGCTCAATCAGTGCCATATTGATTAAATTAAATTAATACTTACTATTAATATTAATATACTAAAAATACTTACTACTTAAATACTTACTACTCAATCGTTGCTCAATCAGTGCCATATTGATTAAATTAAATTAATACTTACTATTAATATTAATATACTAAAAATACTTACTACTTAAATACTTACTACTCAATCGTTGCTCAATCAGTGCCATATTGATTAAATATATAAATAACGAAAGTAAAAACTGAAGTTTATAGCACACTTGGAAAAGCGATGCTTGGCAAGTCTCTACCAGCAACTAAAGATAGGCTGTGAGGCTCCAAGAGATAGTTGAAAACTATAATTTAATATCCACATGTTAAAAGTGAAAACACTATTGTTAAGTTGACCAAACCGTACGATTGTTAAAGTTCTAAAATGACCGATAGCATAAACAAAGGGTTAAATTATGAGCTGCACGGCTTATAGGTTTATAAACAATCTCTGATCAGAGTACTCATGGGATCCAGAACCGAATTTAAATATATTTTAAACTAGCAGACCCCGCCACGCCTTGTTGTGGCTCAAAATGTATCTATTATATATAACACTTCCCCAGTGGGGGAAAATTTTTCGAAAAATCCGTTCTTAGTGTACATTCTGTTGACGTATCCTATTAAAATGCAATCAAAAACGCAAAAACCNACTTCAAAAGTAGCCACAACACACCAAACGCTCATGATCTTGTCTGCAAAGTATTTGTTAAAGTACCTATGAATGAACAAAGTTCAACCAGCTGTTGCAAATGCCAAAGGACCAATAGTGCAGAAGAAGACAATGATCTGCGTTTGTTTGGTGTCATCATGATAGAAATGTGGAGGTATCATGTAACAGCTAACAGATGTGTGTCACATCGGCTCTTGTGTTAGTTCTTGCAATTAAAGGTTTTACTTTAAAGTACATAAACTTACTGTTTTTTATTCTGTTGCTGAAGGGATCTGGTTTCCTTTAACATAGCTTTTGTTAAGATCGGCCCATTCTTTTTGGCAGTTATGGCCGTTAGTTTCGTTAAGTTCAAAATTATTTTTAGTTTTCTGTTTAGGTTAGCAATTCAGAGCTTTGTCTGCTGGTTTTTGGTCGGGAAGCTTGGTTCGATTTCGTTGAAATTATTTTCCTAGCCCCTTTTTC